AAGCATTGTTCCTATTGGACATCATTCTTTGAGACTGCAGAGTTTATGGCACAGTTAATTATTAATTTGGCTGGCATCTGTAAAGTAGAAGGGAGTTCTTGTGCTTTTAGGCCATGTGCTCAGTGTGTAAATCTCTTGTACAGCTGCCATAATCATATTCCTGCAGCTATGTTGTCACCTCTTGTAATTTTTCTGCTAATAAGAAAATTTAAACTAGCCAGGAATCCTAAATTTGAAGACTAGTTGTTTATTTCAAATATACTCCAGAGAAATAATAATGCAGTTCGGCTCTGAATTTAATTTAAACAGGAACAGGCAAAACAAATCTCTGTGGAGGGCATTTGACAATAATAAAATATTTCTCCCAGCGGGTGAGCTGGTAGCAATTGTATTGTTGCCATCAAAGCTCACGTTTCAGCAGGTCATTACCATCATAACAAGCCCTTGGACCAACTGGCATGGACATGCAACATTGAGCTCCTGATGGGCACATTATTTCAGACCTTTAACTTCATGGAGAACAAGACAAATACTCCTGGGAAAGGAGGATTATATTTTGAAATGCCCTTCTTTTCTGTTCTGCTTAATAATAAGATGCTGTGTGTAATCAATCTACCGCTACTTGCTTTTTTATATTAACATTGTAAGAAACTAGGCTTCGGAATTTGAATGCTAGGAAAGAATGGGCAGAAATCTTAACAAAGACAACTATTAGCATGACCAAAATATATCAATCCACCTATAAACACTTTAAATGCTTGTGAATAAAATGTAAAAAAGGCAAACAAATCTACCAATGTCATTTTCTACATTTACATTTCTGTAGCAAATGAGAGGAGAAAGTTTGTAGAATATGTTAGAGGAGAGGTATTCTGGACACATAAAATCAACATCTTATCAGACAGGAAAAAACACACGCTATGTGATGTAGCTACTGCAGCCAGACTATATAACAAGGATATAGTAATTAACAAAGAGCCATGTGAAATCAAAGAGAACTACAATACACTAGAGAGACCTAATGCAAAGTAAAGTAAAGGTGCAAGTGAAAAAGCTGATAAGGAAAATAAACAGGGGTAGTCAAAAATTGATTTAGAATTCAGAGAACAGATTAAAATTGTGCCATTCTTTAGTTTAGTCTGAAGAGCCAACACGGGTTAAGTGAAAAATTAAGGAGTGGTTTGATATTCTGCAGCAAAAGCCTCTAAGAAAATATCTTATATGGGGCATTACCAGAAGAGACAGCTGGGTAGCACCTAAAAAGAAGATTTATGAATCATGTATTTTTGTCCCTATCTACACCATATTTCCTTATGTTTGTTATCTTTAGGAAGCCATTCTTTTCCTACATCTATTTAATCGGTACTAGTATTTCCATAACAATAGTACCACATACTAAACAAACATACATAAGTGCATGTATAATGTAACTATTGATTGTTACATGATTTTCTTTTGTACAGAAGGACCATATAGAGAGACTATAGGCTACTTATTTGGTGGTGTTCCATATCACCTTGTACTGTGAATCCATGAGATCATAAAAAGCTAAGAAGAGGCAGGCTATTACTTGGAGGGGAGTTTCCAAGGAAAACCAAGATGCTATCAGAAATAGAGCGTCATTCAGTAGTGTACTTGATAGTAGCATTTTTTTTCTCCAGAATTGGTACTGAACCCTTTGCATTTTAGCAGTGGCTACTGTGCTGGTGGAGATAACACCTGTTGGATGAGATTTAAAAACCAAGATCCTGACCACTTTTCCTCTGAAAACTTCCAGGGGCTATTTTCACAGTTAAGAGTTGTTAATATGTCTTGGCCAATTTCCCCATGGGTACTTACAAAAATATTTCTGCCTACTTAAAATATTTCAATTGGATAGCTGTCCACTTCCTCAACTAAACTGCTGTGTAATGTTGTTATTTGCTGTTAAACGTTTGCCATGGTGCACCCCAGAAGTGGCTGCATTTCAGTTGTGTGAAATGGTCTCTGAAAGGTATATACCCCATTTTTCCCCTTTCCGGGAAAGTGTGAGGCTCGATCAATGCTTGTGAAGTGTTCTGAGATCCTTAGCTGAAAGGGGGTATAGAAGTGCTAATTATGATTATAACTGTATGTGGAAATGTTCACAGTCAAATATTTCAAGCCAATGAATAGATACAATTACATTTTGTTCAAATCTGGAGCATCTGCAAGTCTGAGAGTGGCATGTTGTTTACACATGGCAAATTACAGTTCGCTTTGATTTTTTTAGAGTGATATTTTATAAACAGTGCGTCTCTCCATTTTAGGCTGTGATGATGCATTATACTCCTGAAGTGTGTAATAACTAAACAATAAAATAATAAAAGCCAAACCAGGAAAAGTTTTATATACTGGGTCACCCTTAAAAATATTTTGATTTCTTTCTGTCATTCCTTTATTCAAGGAGAAATTTCCTAGAATTGTTAAAATGTAGAAGGTACCATTTCCCCCTTCCCATGTCTTTCAATGGCATATTACTTCTTAAAAGATTGCACAATACAAAAATACCAAGAACTATCCTGATAGCTTGTCTTAATGGCTGAAACAATTCTTGTCCCTGAATACCATTCAGTTTAGTAGCCTTTGTGTCATCAGCCAAAGTCTCCAGAGAATGGCCAGCACTGAAGGTGAGAAATATGTTGGGCACATACAATGACAAAATACTATCAAGAAGATAGGCTAAAAAGCAAGAAAAGCACACATTAGCACTTCTGTGATGGCTCCAGAAGGGTCCACAGGAAACACAGGTTGACCCTGTGCAATAAGGGCTATAACCTTTCAGACTGTAAAAGGCTGAGAGGCTATTTACTGTCAGTTTTAAACCAAGCTGTTTAACCCCTTTGGATCTTGAAGACTTATCAGAACTCTTTATTAACACTAATCTATATTATTGCTCCCATGACTATTTACTTCCATTCATAAAAGCTGGTTCAAATAATATATTTTTTAAACAAACAAATAAACAAACAAACCCAGAACATGTAAAAGGAGTCCCCCATCCATAGGAAATGAATGATGGATTTAGTTGTTGATGGAGAAATCAAATAAGTGCTTCTAGATGGTATTAATATGATCTTAAAATAGTGGGAAAGTTTTCTTTTATGACATTGACAGAGAGGCAATGATTTTTGAGTAATGCAGGTTGATGGGGAGATGCTTTAAGATTAAATAAGTGCTATATAAAGGCTTGTCAGAATGAATTCTAATGTGCTATGAGACATTTTGCATATTTAAGAGTATGCAAAATGTCTTGTATCACACTGGAATTCATTTTGACAAGGCTTTATATAGCATTTATTTATGCTTGTACTCTCTAAGGGAAAAGGGATAATGCTTGCTACTCTTTGAATGGAAGTAACAAAAGGTAATGCTTATTGATTTGTTTCCCTCTTATAACAAAAACGAAAAACAAAAAAACAAAACCACAACACAAAAAATAAAATAAAAGCAATCAAAAGTGGAAGCTTGTTTAATATTGCTCTACCATCATCCTGAAAGGCATAATAATTTGAGTTACACATCTGAACTGATTGGAGTTACAGAATCATATCTCCTTTTTGCATTTAACAATATATACAATATAAAATAAATACATTTACACAAATGGACATTGGTTGGAGCACACGGTATGATACACATCACAAAAATATACAGTTGATTGCTTTACAGATGTGAAGCCCATCTACAGCTATTGACATGGTTATTTTACTACTGGCTATTATGCAACTCCTGGATTATTATAAGCAGTTTAATTTTTTTTGTCCTTTTGCGATCTTTGCACGATACGATTGCCATAAAATGTTTTCCTAGGCAGGTAAACAGAGACGCTTAAATAATTAAAATACAATCACCAACACCCATTTTCTCTTCTATAAGAAAAATAGCAGTTTTAATTTTTTATATCTTTTTTATGTTATCATTTAAATGCAAAATAGTGGAATAAATACAACAATCTGATCTGATTGAAACAAATGTGTAACTTCTGGGAGTCACACAATCATATTGCTTTAAATAAGAAAAAAATAAAAAAATGAAGCAAAAAATAGAAATTAAATCATTATGGCTAAACAGACACCTTTTGAAATTTTCCCAACACTTCACATTAAGTAAGTGGTCTTGAAAGAACTCTCCTCCAGCTAGGTTTAGGATGAACATTATTATAAAGCCTGTGCAGTTCTTTTAGCCATATTTCGGTTAAAGTTTTTACAGTCTTGAGATACTTGTTCTTTTGCAGCTCTAAAAAAATTACTAAAAATGAAAACTAATCGTTTGCCCACCGTGTGCCCTTTTAAAC